TCTTTCCTCACACCTTTCAGGTTTTAAATGTGTCGTTAAACCACAAAAACATGAATACTCTTGTAACTTCTTTTCAAACATACTTCATGATCGTTTGAGACACCCCTGTCGTTCTCTCTATGCAGATTTTTTCAATTTAAGTCAATTGCCTGTGTGGAAATCGGTGTGAAAACGTCTGTCGCTTTTCGTTTTCGAATACCCTACTTATACTGCCATTTGAAGTATATCGTGTAACAATATATTCTCACGTGTGGGTCATTTTAGATGTTTTGGGACAAGATGTTTGACATTTGGCGTTGTTCTATGTTCTACTGAGACACTGTGTGCATCTCAATGTTGCGTCATTGCATGTATAGATGTGAGCGGTTTTCATCTAAACCTTGCAAGGCTCGCTTAATTTTCTTCAGGGTTGCCTTATGTTTCCTAACGAAGTAGCATTGCTACACTCTTTCAGTGCCTCGCGTATATATAAGTAAAAAATATTGGTATAAAAACATGTTTGAGTACATACAGCAACATATTTTATTTAAATATCGGTGCATCATTAACTCAAATCGACAATCAACTCAAAGCTACTTAACTAAAACATTTACACTATAAAAGCGCCAAAACATATTTCCATAAGTATAAATAAAGTGACAAAACACTTTCCGTATCCAATAGAAATCTCTGCATCAAGCATGGTCGATTTACGATTCCGACTATACCATGAGCATGTGTTTATGAATCACTATCAAATAGTAATGATACCAGGTGTTCGCAAAAAGGTGAACGTATCCTGCCCCACCGGTGGCACCCATCACAAACACATGAAAAGGTATGTCAAATGTTCACCTGAAAAGAACATATGGTACAAGACAAAATAAGGAATTGCATCGGACATAATTTTTGTCACTGATGCGTAAAATTGGAAATGTCCTCCACATATCTACCATAAAACATTTTGAAAGCTTTACTGAGGCCTTTAATGTTGTAACCTTCATCAAACAATTTCTGAGCAAGAGTCGTATGACTCTCTTTGAAATCTTGGTAGAAAGAGCATGATCGATTGTATTTCAAAAGTTGTAAAATGTAGACACCAAAGACTGGACCGGAGCTGCTGGAATATTGCTTGATATGAAGGGAAAGTTGACTATTGCAACGTTGACGTTATCCCCCCTTGTCATACAGTCTTGTGGAGAGTGTTTTGTCACTCTAAATCTGTATGCATATATCTTAATATGAAACAGATGAAGCGTTCTCACTGGTCTCCTTTACTTGTAGTTCTAGTTCCTAGTTTCTAAGAAATCTCTACCTAAAGCAGAGTCGACTGTACGATTCAGACCATATCATGAGCATGTGTTCATGAACCGCTATTAAATAGTGATGATACCAACATCAAACTAAACCAAAGCTTCGATTCCAAGCATTACCTTCGCCAACACCAAAGTGTTCGTGTGTAATGATGGCATGGTAGAATGGAGATAACTATGCCATGTTTCCAAATGTAGAGTTATAGCACCTGTAGATTTCACGGTGCTAAATTTAACATTTGAAATCTCACGCTGCGCGTTTGGTTCCAAATTCAGTTTATCACCAACGAGTCTACATGAAACAGGTCTACATTGAAAACACAGTATGTGCATCTCCTTATTGGACTCATGGTAGTTTGTCTAGACCTCATTACACATATTGCAGAATGCCATAACGCGACTGAAGTTTAAGTTTTTTATGTACATTCTTCGGATGGAAATGCCGAGATTTAATGAAGGAGCTGTCTAACGATGAGGTTTGAATCCTTTAGGAGATATTTTCTTTGAAGTGTCTTCTTCTCGTCCCTATCATGATCATCTGATTCTGATCGCAAGATTATTCTGCATCAGCTTTATGTGGATCAGTCAAGGTTTTACAGTGTACATATCCCAAGCATGTGTCAACCTCTACCACAGCATATGGATGTGTCAGAGTCAACTCTGCGACCTCTGAACCGACATGTACCTCGTTCAATATGGCGAACATCTTTCATTTCCAAGGGTGTCCAAGCAATGATATGTGATTCTAGTGTCGATTGGAGTAAATTAACGTCCCCTTATTCTCTGATCAATAACGAAAAGGATCAAAATACCCCTTTTTATCAGGACACATCGCCACCAATGATCTGTATCATCTTGTATGGCTTTCTCTGTGCACACTTACTGGTTTCTTGCCTCGCTGGCTTGGAAGACCAATGGTTCAAAATAAGGACAACAAGTAGAGTAACATTACGTTGTTTGGATTTTGATTTTGCTGAACGACTCGGCAATATTCAAGCTGTGCGACCTGTACGACCATGTAAATATTTGGGTCTGGACCAGACAAACCAGTCATTGACATGCAATCACACAAGTCACCAAATCTGACCACCCGATCAATTAAGTCGCCTCGCACGACAAGCGTACTAGGTTGTTGGGGAATATTTCTAACCCAGAATAGTATAATTAGTCGGATATGAACTAATTTCTTCAAAGGTAATAGCAGCTTCCGATAAGGTAGATAAGGCTTCAAGCCATATCAACACTTCATCTATTCTAAAATTGGCAATTTGAAGTGCATGTAACGGATATAGACTCATGGAGACCTATTCTAATCATGAATCTCTACAGGGGTCACAACTAAAGGGGTATTTTTGCGAGCCCGAGTTAAAAAACAACAGAGTTGTTCAGCGTAGCTGTATCAAACATGTTTGGGTACTTGTTAACTACGTATATCGTTGAGATGTTCTGTTGTAGCTTGTATTAGCACTGCCTACTATCAGCTATCAAGTGTTATGTCTTCTTAGTCTGTAGGTTAAGCTGTATATCGTTAGGAACTCTTGGGGAATATAGAAAGCATATAGATTTAAATGATTATGTTGCGGCTAGTTTGGACATCGGGTGGTTTTATTGCATTATTGCCTTGATTTGAGTAATTACGTATACACGGGTCTATTTGTGGAGGGGAGGTGAAATGGGGTTTAACGTCGCGAACATAGCGACGTCCATGGACTTGTGTGTGAGGCTGTTTGTACTAGTCCGGACTGATACCGATTTTATAGTGCTAGCCTACAAAGATATCATGCAGCCGCTTTACATGGTAACCCAACTCAGACACAGAATACTGACTCTGAGACGACCAGTCCTTGTTTTATTCTTTCAATGCCGAGCACCAGACAGAGAAACAAATACAGTGAAACCCTAACTTTCCTATATAACATAACTATCGTCCCGTGAAGAATCCGGGTTGGAATTGGTCTTCAGCAACCCATTCTTGTCGTTAAGGGGCGACTAACGGGATCGGGTGGCCGGTCAGGCACGCTGACTTCGTTGATTCGAGTCATCGTATCCAAACGTGTGGATCGATGCTCATGAAATCGATCCTTGGATAATCTTGTCCAGACTTATTTACAAACCACAGTCGTTAAGCTGGAATATTGCTGCGGCGTTAAACAAACAATGTAACAAACAAACAAGCAAACTAGCCTTGCTCCAAGGCTGCACTGAATGATAACTACAAGCTGTATATTATTTCTATCCTAAGAATACCAGTCTTTAATAAGGACAACATGCTCCCATTATTATATAATCTAGAAATTATGATTTATATTAATAATTATTATCTTAGAGACTTGTGCAAGTCTAGTTCTGCACCACAATTGGACTTCGTCTGGTGCACAGAGATACATGTAGGTCATCACCTGACCGTGTGGCTGACAGCCAGATCACAGATTTAGTAGCCATAGTGTGAGTGAACAAGTGGAAGTGAGTTTGGTTAACATCACTTTTCACAATTTTTTCAGTTGGGAAGAAGCCCTAATTAACACAGGTCATGGACAAGAGGGGGCACGGGTGGCCCAGTCGTCTAAGGCGCCGCGATTCACTGTGCAGGGTTGCGTCCCTTGGGCACGCCAGAAACCCGGTTCGCCCCAATTATGTTTCTAGGTTTGTCAGCACCATACCCGTGCTTGTGGGTTTCACCGAAGTGGTAATCGTCTGAGACCTGCATCACTTCGGGCTTTCCTCCCACATTAAGCTGACACGCCGTGATATAACTTGAATGCTGTTAAAAGCGGCGTTAAACCCATCTCACTCACTCATGGACAAGAAACCCATCAACACTGTATTTGCTGACAAACCAAAGATCACAACCTGTCTTGGTGCAACGAGGAGAAGCAACTCTGCATAGGGAATTGGCATGACTTATGGCCTTAGTAAAACTATATTTTAGAAGACGGATTAACAAGAGATTACCTCTGTAAAGCGATTCGCTAATTTCTCAACAAAAGGGTGACCGACATGGAATTTGAAAGTCGCCGATTGTATTGAAACTGTTGGGAGTCAAATACTTGGTCTGCGGTGACCTGAGGAATAATCAAAATTGTTCCAAAGGACAGAGACAGGTCTGGGCCAGGTGGGTGATGGCATGTTCAAGAGCTATCAAGGCCGCCAGCAAAAGGAACCATCAGCCTTTTTTCCAAGATAACTTTATACATAAACGGCATGTTTAAAAAAGTTAAAGATTTGTTTTGGAGTTTTGCTGCATATGAATCCAGGATATATTATAGTATGGGATGCTGGGTATTAGGTTTAAAGAGATAGTCCATCAATATTTTGTTTGGAGTTTTGCAGCATATAAATTCAGGATATAGTGTTGTATAGAATGCTGGGTTTTAGGTTTAAAAAGTTAGTCCATCAATATTTTGTTTGGAGTTTTGCAGCATATTAATTCAGGATAAATTATAGTATAGGATGCTGGGTATTAGGTTTAAAAAGTTAGTCCATCAATATTTTGTTTTGGAGTTTTGCAGATTATGAATTCAGCATATAGTGTAGTATAGGATGCTGGGTAGCCTAATACCCTAATGATGGTAGCCTGGATTCATAGGTATATATTTTCTTTTGAGGTTATTCCTCTATGATGTGTGTATAAACTTAAGAGTTAGCTAAACTCGGCATACCTGGGATCATTAAATTGTGCTAGAAAGAAGTATAGTAACATAAAAGAAACACAGATAACTTGTTTATTGTTTACTTTAATCAGATATCCTGATATTTATGTCAGTACATTGCACACAGTCTTCATGCGAATCAACATTTGAACTAAATACATGAGACTTGATCTCTTACACAAATATATCCTTGTTAATGATTGTGATGGAAACACAAATAGAAGATGACCTTTACCTTAACGAAGTGACTTGATTAGCTGAGGTAGAGCAAGCAGTAGCCATGGTGATGCACCATTGTATGCTAATCAAAAACAAATAACAGAAACGTAACAAAATAGAAACGCAACCAATCTATCCTGATCTGATAAATTTGCTATTTCTATTCACAACAGTTGAAACAAGATCTCTGTTGATGACTAAAAAGCTTTTTAAACACACAATATTCAAACCAATCTTTGTTGACTGCATATTTCTAATACAGTAAATTGAGACTATAGATGCACCAAGGTTTTCCAAAAGCTATTCTAATCTTAAGTACAAAGCAAAGAGTTTGTTGTTTTTCATCTGGTAAACACAACTATATACTGTGAAACTGTTTATCCTGAAGGTCCTTTTCCCAGTGAGATTGTTTGGAGTAAAAAATATCTGGAGTAACAAATATCTGGATTAACGAATCATGTGACTTTGTTGTCTTTGTATCTTAGTATGTTGTTTGTGTTCCTTCGTAAGTAGAATGGATTCCGTTGACGTCCTACACAAGATGTCCTTGAAACTACCAAAGTGTTACTGTAATAATGTTTTCCACTTGATACATGAAAAATATTAATATCATATACTGGTATGTGCTTGTAAGTTGTTTATTATTTCAGAGAAATATTTCAACCAAAGGCATGATTATTTTTTAAAATCATGATCAAATTATCACATAAAATTCATTAAAAAAAATAATCTAAGATTTTAAATACATTCTCAGTATGTGACACAGTTGACTTGCTCTGTCCTCTTAACATTGGAAGTATTTTCATGCTTTCTGCTTCAACTAATGAGAAAAACATTTATTAGAGGTACATTTGATCCCCATCATTCTCTGTTCAACCAAACGTTGACTAGCTTAACAGGACCCATGCTTGAAGATTCTAAAATTATTTTCCAAGCGAAGTCATTTCATCCCACTATAGCATTTGTATTAGAAAGGTATGTAGAGAAGCAAAATACCATCTTTTCTAATACACGTCGGAAATATCAATATCAAATATGGATTTCACAGTCTAATTGATACCATGAAATTTACTTCCATGTAAACATTATCAACAAGCAATAGTTGGAATGATGGTTTTAAATATAACAAATTACTGTTTTCTGCATATTTTGCCATTTTCCTTGCATTGCCTTTTAAGTAGAATGTCAGACTCAGTGTGAACATACTCTCTATGTCTCTGCACTCCTCCTCAAGGTAATGGAGTGAAACCTACAGAGGAGACTAACGAGGAGAAGACTGGAGAAGAGGCAGATACAGCTGACTTCCACTCTGCTTTTTTAATCAGCCGCGTTATTTTGAAGTTTCATCTGTATTTAAGATGCATTCTTCAACACTTGGTGATTTTGGCAGAAAATGAGAGTTCAAGGCCTATGACTTAGATTTCAACCACTAATATGAGTTCCCATGAAATATTTCATCATACTTGTCAGAATGTTTAACAATTGCAAACTTCTTACAATCAGGAAAACAAATAATTTAAAATACTTAGTATTCAAAGACAATTCACTTTTAATGTACAATTATTTTTTATACCAACATAAAATAATTCCATTTCATTAGCACAACTTTCACGAAATTATGAAGATATTACCTTTATTAGTGATATACTTTATGTTACAAAATACATAAAAATAACAAATGAATGACCTCCATATAAGCCTAAACTATGCAACATTTGTCAGTAAACACGTGGAAGTTGGGTTTTTTTCAAACAATGTGAAAAAATTAACTTTATGATTTTTTAGATGAAGATGAATAAGTCTTGATCAATTCATATATGTACATCAGGCTTCTGATATTAAGTGTAAAAAAATCGTCAACTTTTGAAATATCTTCAAGATCCCAGGAATTTTGAAATGTTTTCACTCTTTGGTGAAAAAAACCAACAAATATATATTCCATCTTTACATGTTTTCCCGAGCTCTTGAAAATATACCCTTCAATGAGTGTAATGTAATGTGAGTGGATTAGTGACAGCACTTGTGACCAGAAGGAATATTTTTGGTTTGAAAAAGAAAGGTATTTTCATGAGTTATTATTTGCCATGAATCAAAAATTTTATAAAAGTATTAAAACACAACATTTCCCATTCAAGACAGATGTTTTTTGTACAATGTCCTGATATCAATTTCTATTGTACAGATCAAATATTAAATCTAAAATATTTCAATTTAAACAGAAATACAACCAAAATAGGTCAGTAACAGTACTCCAATCCATTTCAAACAAAAGAAATAGATACTGTTTAAACCATATCAAATGAAGATAGAATATGATTACATATTTACACATTCAGTTTTAATTGGAGTTACGTCTGCTATTAAACTGACCCTATCCAACACCCAAAAAATCCATGTAGCGATACATGTACTTCCTTTTTCCTTGAATTTTTTGTAAGAATTCTTATATCATGAAAATAATAACTGATGTCAATGCACAAAAAAAACGTAAAACACAAATATGTGCCCTGGACACAAAACTACACTGACTTTTTATGAATCGGGAGTGACCATTTTATATCCTGGGGGTGGAGAGGAACCTGGGACTTTTGTAAGAGATTTGATATGTTTTGGTCACTTCTTCAAAACACACATATATATTTCTCTGAAAGGAGAGGTCGAATAATTTTGTTTTCTTTCACAACCCACTTATTTTCAGGACATCCAGCAAGTCCATCAAACTTGACTTGCCTTTGCTTGTGTTTGTGACAGGTGCCACTGATGTGGCAGGATACTATCACCTTTTCAGGAACACCTGTATCATATCTATCTGATAGTGATTCATAAACACATGCTTAAGATATACATGCAGTCTGAACCATACAATGGACTCTGCTTTTGGTCATTTCATATAATTTTCACCACTATTTTGCCTGTTACACCCAACAGAATCTGTTTTGTCAGATAATTGAGACTTGTTACTCTCTGGCATTGACATTTTATATTTATGATTATCGAAAGGCTTGTTTTCTCTTTTTTTTCCCCTTTTATTATTTTTCCCAGTATTTTCTTAAATGCCAAGCCTAGCTTCTAAGAATAGCAAATGGTCAGTCCCTATGGCATAAATTAATAAATGTTGTAGTTCCAATATTTCAACCAATCCTACGTTTTACTTTTCGTTGCCATCGTTGCAGTTATATTCCCACCAAATACATTGCAGATGCAACATTGATATTCAGCTTGATATATTCTGTTGATACATGATTAACCTGACGACCAACCCTGTGTTGGTTGTTCTTGTACAGAACCACAACATTCATATTTAGGCCTAATTTGATTGTACTGCCGTGATGCTTGGCATCAGTCATACTGCATAAACTCCACCAAGATGAACATGCAAACATTTTCTTTCCATATTTACTTTCAGAAATTACATTTCATATATGATTACATGAAATACAAAGTTAAAAAAACATTATCAGGTATTATTTATTATCTAACACTAAAGGTTAAAGTACATCATATTTCATTCAGTATGTGATCAATATTTATTCAATTCCAATAATATAATATTTATTGATATACATTTTATTATTGTCATTTTCTTTTATACAAGTACCTTCAAATTTATTATTTAATTAGAAATGTTCAAATTTTCAGAGATTATACAGTACAAATTCCTTGTTTTAACCTGTGCATATCACAAATTCCTGATATATTATACTGTACAACAAAATCTAGCCTATCCAATCTGTACACCTTTGTACTGTACATGCCTCTCTGTACAGGTAAACGTGAATACATACTTTACAAATTGTACAACTTAGTTGTTATTATCATTTCTTATATACAATTCTACTGCTTGTGAAAGAACACATTAACAGCAGTTAGGAAATCAGGATATCAAGATGTACACTCGGGTGAAACTCAAGCAGTCACTCTTGTGAAATCTTGATCTTCCTAAAATAATTGGGGTGGCAGTTGGAGAATAAGTCTGTCATGGAGTCAATCTTCAGGAGTCACAGTCCTTTACCATCAAAGCTGTGCTAGTCTTGTGGTGCATCTAATTTCATTTCAAAGCTGTGTTCTTGATTGTTGTTCTTTTAACACTATGCTTTTAAACAAAAATCAGGAAGTAGTCGACTTCAGATTCCGAAGAATTCAATTTCACTGAAAAATGTTTCGATGTTCAAAGTCAACTTTGGTCTTTCAGTGCACAAATTACGTAGTTTGAAACTCATGCTTGAACTGACTTTCATCCAGCGTCAATCTTGCAAACATGTCTGTGCAAACACACCTGATTTGCAAAAACTGAATTCCCACAGAAATGCAGCCATCACAACCTTTGAGAAATGTTCCAAGACAATCATAAATAACTGGCATTGAAAACAAGTCATATTTCTGAAATATACAAATTTGTATATTTCTGCCCCGATTCAAGTTGAGGCAAAACTCAGAAGCAAGCAACATATACAACATGGCTGACACACACTTCGAAATGTCACATAGCTGTTAAAAGATTCAACTCTATTTTGATGTGTCCAATTCTGTGTTAGGTGTTAGTCAGAGAACCTGTTAAGTACAATGGCATTGTATGAAATTTAATTTGGGAGAAAGAAACAGTTCTAGGCCTCCGTAGCCGAGGTTGACTCATGGACAGCGTGTAAAGTAATGTACGAGTTCAACATCAGCCTGTAATGCTGCCTTAATCCAAACCAGCCAATCATAGCTGGAGGTGTCTCATTTGCACCAATCAGATTGCACAAATCCCTTTACAGGTAAAGACTCTGGTTACATAGTAACCAAAGCTCTTTCTTCATCTGTCAGTTGATGTGAGAACAGATTGCACTCTCCCATGTTTTTATTAAGATTATCCTGTACAAAATAGTGTGAAATATTATAGGACATCAACATGTCTTGTTAAATCAAATGCTGATTTAAATGGAAGTCTCATACTTGTCCAGTCATTGGAAGGTTTACTTCCTATGATTTTGCCTCACTTTCACAAGTAACCTCATAGGATCCTTCTTGACCAATCAGGTGAATCCTTTCACAGACCTCTTTCTCTCATTGGCTGTAACTCCATTGTATTCCATTGGACAGTTTCAGCAACCAATAGAAACCAACCTCCAGCCTGTTTGATGTCTCATTGGTTGTTTTGAAAGTGGAAAATAGATTGCACCAATCATATTGCTGACTGCTTGTTCAGCTACATGTACACCAGACTGTATAAGGCACAGATAACTTGATCTAGGTGTCAGTGTCATAAGACACAGCGAACCAGGAGAAGGGAGACAACTAGGGACAACATCAGCGATGTTTTTGCATAGCTTGAGATAGATACCCCTGCGTGGTTCGGATGGATCTGGGAACCAGTACCTGCAAAATACAGGGGAGTTTATTGTCACTCTGTATCTTTAAAATGAAGCAAATGCTGAAAAAAGTTATAAGACATTTTCTGATTATATACCTGATGTCCAGAACAATTCATCAAGTGAACACAAACTTCACCATGCACTTTACCTTTGGAAAGGCCTTGAAACATATATTAATATCAATTTCTGAAACAAACACATCTCATCTTACACAAATAATGATCAAATTACATTCTTTCCCTTTTTGCATCCTGGGGTATTTTCATGGCATAATACCTACATCTTCATTAACAGTTCCCCTATCGCTATTATGTCAACTGAAGGCAGAAATTGAATTAAGGATGAGTCTTCGTCATGCCTAGGAGTTACCAGATGAGTATTAACTGTTTGGTTGGCATTCTAGAAGTTGGAGAAGTTTATCCATAAATCTCTATGTATTTTTTTTTAAAGGTTATTATTGTATACAAGCTACAGAAGAAAATGTGGAAAACCTATCTCCACATCTCAGATTACTCAAGACCGCTTACTAGAATAATGACCACAATTTTCTTGGCCGTACATATACAGGGATAACAAAATAGTCCATTTGTCTTTGACTGTAAGGACCTGAGAATGCTTTGAAATGAGAGACAGGATATTATGGAACAGCACATACCGGTAATTGTGCCTGTGACAGAACAAATGGAATAGTGTATAGCAATTACTCATCCTCGTCTATACCTCAGCAATAACATTACATGACCTTACTGAGATTTATCAACTGGAATGCCTTTGAAACACAGCTAATACACCAAAGCCTCCAGAGGCTAGTTAACAACAGCAGAAAACATTAAAGATATCAATTCCAAGAGCATATTGTTTTATTTACATTTACTTCATACTGAATTTATGACCCATAACTGATTAAAGCTGACAATTTCTAGAGTAAAAGAAAAAATAATGCATTGCAGAAAATCTATAAAAAGATCTTTATTTCTGAACATTTCTTTGAAATATATCTAAGATAAACCTTGATATTTCAGTACTTGCTTAAATCTGATAAGAAATTATGACATACAGCTTTAGGGATGATCCCCTGTGATACATTTCCTTGCTCAATATGGTTCCTATTTGCCATCATCAACAGAAATCTTCATCACTTTATCACTACATTCTGTTTCTACAGACAGAGACTTCCATGTGGCAGTGAAAGCTCTGATAGAATGAAGGTTCAGGCCCACAGACTGCACTGTCCATTGCTGCCATAATCTCTAAAGAATACATGTTACAGAAAATGGATTGATATTCCAAGAATATACTGGCTGAGGGTCCCTAGGATATACAGTAAGCTGGGGGGATGTAGGGATGAGTTGTGCCAGTTAAAATTGTGTTATGGTCTGTAGCAATTCACATTGGCTCTATGAACTGATACATATTGGAGACATGTTGATGGCACCAAGGGTGGTAACTCTTATTATACATTCAAAGATACTATTTTTGGCCATTTTTGGTGACCTAAATAATAAATAAAGTTGTGGCTATGTTTGATATTTTTACCAGAATAAATATGCTTATGTTTCACTTGTAATCTATTAATGTACGTTAATATAGTCTACTTTCTTGTTACCATTTTCATTTTAAAACATGTTTTTAAAAAGTTCATGGTTCATTAATTCAAAATGGTTCGGCAACATCATATTGATAAATATATTGATAATTTGCATTGCTATGAAACTGTGCATCATTATAGTGTTACATCTGTGACAGAGGACCTAAATGTTTCTCAGCCAGTAGGATGCAACAAAATAGTTTGCTAAGAGAATTAATGGTTGATAACTGTAGTATATAACTTACATTAATCAATACTGAAAATACTTATCAACAGTATCAATGAAGACTTGGCTAACAATAACAAGAACTTGTACCGTAATGTCACTTTCAAAGAATAAAGAATTTCAAATCCATAAGTCAACAATGTCTCCATATTTGAAAAACATGATAATCAATACTTGTATCAAATACTATTCATGAAGAAAAATATTCCTCAAAAATATTTTCATTTGGCATTTCACTGAATTTCAATCTTTATAAATAAACTTCAACTTTTATAAGAAAAACAACTAGAAAAAAACATGCAAAGGTTTCATGTTACAGACAGTATTATGGACACTGTTTGGAGAAAATAAACAGAATAAACAACAGACGAAGTTGACATAAAAAAAAAGTTCAAATTACATTCATAATTCTATATGGCTACATTCTGAATCAAGTTGGAGAAATAAATAGGATATGCATTCAGTATGTGTGTAGAATTGTTATAATTACTACTCAACAATGGATGTCCAATATTGAATTATCGATTGAAAGCTATTGCGTATTTCTTACAAAAAGTGCATAAAATGTGCTGACACAGGTTTTATTTCCGTGATTCATGACTGCATGCGTAATTCATTGAAAAAAACGAAGGAACAAAAACATGTACTTACCACGTTTTACATTTGTTGTATCAGCTGAAATGAAAGAAATTACATAGAGTACAAAAATGAATCATGGTATAGATATAACATTCTTCTTGGGGATGTAACTGCATGTTATGTTCAGCCATTGTTGAATAATAATAGTAATAATAATAATAATAATAATAATGATAATAATAAAAGCAAGAAAACCCTTGCCACATTCATAAGAAATCTCTGCTAAAGGCAAGAGTTGAAGCTTTCCTAGCATGGTCTTATCATCTGAATTATCACATGACTAAAATGGAACCATGAACCACAGAAAATGAAAAAGATCCCCCAAAATGCCACACTGGCCCTGTCTGAGGATAATCAAGGTCTGTGGATGCAGTTGGCAAGAAGTACTTATTTATTATTTTTCTTTCCTATTAAAGGACAAGGGATTCCCAAAGAGATGCTGATAATATGAATATTCTTATAGGTGATATTCATATCTAAATGCATCTCTGCACTGATCAGAAGAGTGAGTGAGTGAGTGAGTGAGTGAGTGAGTTGGGTTTAACGCCACTTTGAACAGTATTCCAGTCATATCGCGGCGTGTCAGCTTAATGTGGGAGGAAAGCCCGAAGTGATGCAGGTCTCAGACGTTTACCACTTCAGTAAAACCCACGAGCACGGGTTTGGTGCTGACAAACCTAGAAACATAATCGGGGTGAACCAGGATTTGAAACCACAATCATAGGTTTCTGGCGTGCAATTCTGCACAGCGAATCGCGGCGCCTTAGACGACTGGGCCATCCGTGCCCCCCTGATCAGAAGAACACAACATTGATGCTGAATAACTGGACTTCCTTCAAAAGGTGATAGGAATAAAATGTCCAGATAACAAGAGTTAATGGTTGGTTTGTTGTTTAATGATGCACTTAGCAATATTCCAGATATGACGGCGGTCTGTAAATAATCGAGTCTGGACCAGGCAGTCCAGTGATTAATATCATGAGCATCGATCCACGCAATTGGGATCGATACTATGCATCAACCAAGTCAGCGAGCCTGACCACCTGATCCCTTGAGTCGCCTCTTACAACAAGCATAGTCGCCTTTTACGGCAAGCGTTGGTTGCTGAAGACCTATTCTACCCTGGAATCTTCATGGGTCAGATAACAAGAGATACTAGTCAATGTAGAGAACACCTCACATACTAACATATGATTTAGTGACATACTTCTTTTACATAAACCTTTCTTATTGAGCACAACAGTAAATAATTTTCAGCAATATTCTTAGTTCCCTTACTTCTTTCCATCAGGATATTTACCTTTATATAAAATCAATTATTATTCTCAAACTTTTTTTACAAGTCCTAACAGATATACTACTCCTTGGCATAACTGGAATAGTAAAGACAAAATTCAAAACACCAACAAAACAATATTAATCTCACCGAACTGGGAAAAGAATAAAGTCTACAGGAAACTATATAAGGGTATGATTCTATACAAGGGTATGAAACTATATAAGGGAATGTTTCTGTTTCATAAAGCATGAAAAAGACATTCTGTGACTTATGTGTGTTCAACACAAACCTATGACTGAGTCATATATAGAACGTACCACAACCACTATATTCAGTATGAACAAAATCATCATAAATATCTCAACACGATGTGTTTTGGATAATGATAAATAAACATTATCTTCTTTACAAACATAGCCATACATTTTTGACGGTTCATGAAAATTTCTTTTAACAAAAATATTATTCATATTAAATATTGTTTTACCTTATTACCAATTTTTAGATTATATAAAGATTGCTTACTTGTTTATGCATGTGTAAGGTGTATTTGATCGACATGTATAAATCTCATGTCAACTGTGACTATACTGCACATAGCTTTACTGTTTTAGTAGCAAATAAATGATCATTGATATTAACTCTGCTTCTTGTAATGTTCAGAGGGCACAGGCGGCCCAGTCATATAAGATGCTGCAATTCGCTGTGTTTAGTTGCCTCCCTTTGGCATGCCAGGAACCTATGATCATGGGTTCGAATCCCGTTTCACCCCAATTATGTTTCTAGGTTTGTCAGCACCAGTTATAAACATAGTTTACTGTACGTGGCTTTAAATGGAAAATACAGTACACTATAGATAAAACAAAATCAAATGGAAAACTAATTTTAGTTTGTTATAACATAGTTCGTTATAAGCATATATACAACATCTATACAGCAAATGTCTGGATCAAAAATTAAGTTCGTAATATCCTGTTTCGTAATAAGCGTGTTTGTTATAAACGTAGTTTACTGTACAACCAGTTATGGTTGATATCTTCTGTTATGTAGACAAATATCAATCTAAATATAACATTTGAGTTATCTTAAAGATACATATTTATATATTATGAAAATAACATGGAGTAGAGATCAGTGTGGAGGTAAGAAAGAAAAAGTCTTACCCCCATAAAACCAAAAATGAGGCAGAAATGTGATTACGATGCTGAGGTTTGTGTACCTGTACCCACCATGGAACTGAGACTGCAGTCTTAATATCCACTTACCAGTTGACCAGGGTAATAATGCAATGAGCTGTCAGCATAGCCCTCTTTGTAGAGAAGCCTGGTGCTTTATACTGGGCTATAAATATTTTATTATTGTCAGTAATTACAAACTGATAATCCTGCTGACATTTTATGTCAACATTTGCTTTAGAAACAAGATTGCACAAGTGAAAAAGACTTAATGAAATCTGTATATCAAATTAGAGTATTTGTTTGAGTATATTATCAGCCTGTGTGGTTGGCCCGGTACGTTATCTGCAGCCAGCCATGTCACTACTTGTTGAAGAGGCTATGGGAGTATTCTGGTCATATTTCCCAACTATGGGCTGTAATTTCATCACGTCCAAAGCATATTGATATCAAGAAGACATAGCTGTGCAGTCCTAGTGCAGACTATCTAGGCAATCAGTCTGGACTAATTTGATCCAATTCCTCCAGGACATTGTTAACAATATTTACAGACTCCGCAAGATTTGGGAACAGCAAAAAAGAGAAAGGGACACTATATTATTCTGATAGAGTCAGTGAAGAGCTGGTGTATGAGTGAGGAGTGGGTGTATGATTGGGGAGGGGTGTTTGAGTTGGGAGGGGTGTATGAGTGGGGGAGGGGTGTACGAGTGGGGGAGGGGCGTTTGAGTTGGGAGGCGTGCATGAGTGGGGGAGGGTTGTTTGAGTTTGGAGTGGTGTACGAGTGGGGAATGGTGTTTGGGGAGAGGTGTATGAGTGCGGAGTGGCTGTATGAGTGAGGAGTGGGTGTTTGAGTGGGGAGGGATGTAAGAATGGAGTGAGGCGTATAAGTAGGAAGGGGTGTATGAGTGGGGGAGGGTTGTTTGAGTGGGGAGAGGTGTATGAGTGAGGAGTGGGTGTATGAGTGGGAGAGGTGTTTGAGTGTGGAGAGAGGTGTTTGGAGTGTGGAGGAGTATTTGAGTGGGGTGGGGTGTATGAGTGGGAGGGGTGTTTGAGTGGGAGGGGTGTTTGAGTAGTGAGGGACGTATGAGAAGGTGGGGTTGTTGAGCAGGGAGGTGTGTTTCAGTAAGGAGGGGTGCTTGAGTAGGGAGTGGTGTTTGAGTAGGGAGTGGTGTTTGAGTAGGGAGGGGTGTTTGAGTAGGGAGTTGTGTTTGAGTAGGGAGGGGTGTTTGAGTAGACAGGTGTTTGATTAGGGAGGGGGGGGGGGGGGGGGTTGAGTAGAGGTGTTTGAGTAGGGAGGGGTGTTTGAGGAGGAAAGGGAGTGTTTGAGTAGGGATGGTGGAAGAATGGAAAAGTGAGGATGGACTGGGTTAAAAATACTCAACCTGATCTTGATGCCAATTTCTGGCGCCAGACTGACGTACTTGAATGTTAAATTTATCTTTTACTGGTTGTTCATCCAATCTAATCATTGAACAGCTCTTGCATAAGTCATCTGGCCTTGTGGCTTGTTAAGGGAATATCAAACATGCACTAATTGAATTAGAAGTCATGTAATGGAATGAAAAGAGATTAGCAAATTAGCATCTTTATGAAATATGGCCCTTAGGTTTAAGAAACTAAAAGAAGTTCCATCCAATAATTGGATATTAATTTCATATATCTTCAGTTGTACTCACAGAAATAATTCTTATGTTAGTTTTCAACATATTGATCTTTCATGACTGCCCATTTTTCAAATCCCTATGTCAGACTTCTGGGAAGCAAATATGAACTTGATTTTTAAAGTCTTAAAATTGAACAAAAGTGGCATCTTTATCAAACACAATTTGACAAACACACATCCATCAATGTCAATCATGATGAGCTTGCAACTAGAGAAGAGATAACTGATACAGCTTAAAGGTAGTTTGTGGATCAAGATGTATTGTCATTATGGTATTTTGTCTGACCTTCACACCCTCAGCAAGATCATGATAGTGAGTTGGTGTTGATGTCACGCTGGTTATGTCATTTTAGTTGCCTCTTCCCCCTCCCTTCCTACCTATGTAACTTTGTGAACACAGGCAGCATACAACACTTTTAAACAAAACATGGATCTACTTCAGACCACAGGATTTTGAACAATTTGCTTAACACCAAAATTTGTATAAACAAGGGGACATTAAATTGCCTTGGATTTGACCTTGGGCTCCAATCGGGCTGACATGCTTTCTATGACAAGACCAAACTTATGAAAAAAAGCCACAATATGAACAAGAATCACATACACCAGAACCAGACAACATCATGAACATTTTAGTCAAACAGCTTGGCACTAGCATAGTTGTGTCCCTAGACTGGACTGACTCTGGCAACCATTACACTGATCCTGTAAAGACACACCAGATACGCTACATGTACCACTGCTTTGAACAATATTTCAGATTTATCACTGCATGTCAGCTTGTGGGAAGAAAATCAAAAGAAAACCAAAAGACCCTGTTCCACAAAGCGATCTTAGCGCTAAGGTGATCGTTACTACAATAGTTTAACATAGGCTTACAATGGTCATAGCGCTAAGATCGCTTTGTGGAACAGGGTCTTTTGGTTTTCTTTTGGTTTTCTTCCCACAAGCTTATAGTGCTATGACTGTTGGAAGTCTATGTATGGGAATTCCGATCATCAGATCATCTTTGTAGAATGGCCTAGGTGGATATACACACAAGTACAGTGCTTAAAGATGAGGAATTATTATAAGTCAAATCCATGGTCAGCAGATCCTGGTAAAGCTAGGGGATGCAACTCTACACAGCTATGCACCATAGAGTACATAAGAGTTAGCTGACCTCAGGAAAATAACTTGCTGTGAGGAAAATTCTGTTTAAACCACCAAACTAGTGATTTCAAACATACTGTCAATATAAATAGTTTGCTTCTTCAGTTTTGCAACTCACATTTATCTCTTAGGAATAATAAACTAATTTGTCCATGACAGTGATAGACATGAAACCACTAACGATAGTAAAGGACACAGTTGTTATTCAGAATTCATGATCTGCCTGTATTTTAAGTTAGCAATAACTTACTAAACTGTTTGGTTTGCAAATGAGACCATTTGACTTGAGTACCTACCACTCTTGAACACAAAGGACCAATAGGGCCAGACATCGTAATAAATCCTTGTCAGAAACAGGATCTTCACTGACACGCTGTATAAAACTTACAGGCTTGTGTTGAACATTGTACAGTATCATTGTCCAGGCAAAGTATTGCCATCTTACTCTCCACCTAATCATTTATCCCATCTTGTTTCCTATGCTGATGGATTAGATCTTACTTTACTGATCGGCGGAATAACCTTGGAGCACTGATTCCATATGTCAGTGTTCAAGTTGTAGTAGTTACAAGAGTCACATCACAAAGGGGTGGTCAAGTGGTCTTCACTGCGCAGTTGTATCCATTTGCCATGTCAGGATCATCTGGTCGTGGTTCACATCTGCCTTATTTTAATAATGGTCAGTCAGCATATGTGCTGTGAGTTTAACCAACAAGACAAATGTCCAAAACCTGCATAACCTTTTGCCTTTCATACATATTAAGCTGACATGCCATGATATAACTGAACTACTGTTCAAAGCTTTATAGTACTTCCCAATAGCTCTAACATTGCTTTGTGGAACAGGCCTTGAAGATAGCATTCTCTGCTTTCAGAGTAAGCCACAGGATACATTAATTGTCAGTACTGTCACTCTTCTGGATCCTAATGTGACAATCCCTTCCAACTACCCAACAGATACTGAACCAGTGTCAGACAAACAAAGGACACCATACAATGATTGTAATACAGATATTTTGGATTTATCACGTATTATGGAAATATTTCAATGGTGCAACAGTAGGCAATAACACAGAGGTGCAAACATAAGACTAGGACAAATAAACAAATGCAAATTAACTTACATCCACTACCTATATCATAGCTAGCATGGTTCAGATTGAAATTGCACTTCAAAATGATCTTCCTCCATTGACCAGAAAAAATGAAACAAAACAAGATTCAAAAGCAAAGACAGTGCAATTCCAAATGTGCCGACCAATGACAAAATACTCACTGCTATAATTTGATTTCCGTTGAAATCGTTCTAGTATTGTTGGTTCTACAATAAAATTGACAAAATACTGTCAAATACATATCCTAGGATATTACTTTTTATTTGTATTTGATTTACAATTTCCTAATTCAAATACAATGTGGGCATTTGCATTTCAGTAATATTTATCCGTTTAATAAAATGAAGTCTTGTTGCTTTTTTAGTAATGGGTGCCATTAGCAATACCTCTTCTAAAATATTACACATTGCTGGCATGTTTAATGCTGCTTAGTGTTGACAAAGCCTTTTCATTAGAACTCATTGGAAAGAATCCCATGTTGATACTATAAAAGGCCAATGGGGAAAAGATCATTTCTGCAAAAACTTTTTGTTATCAACAGAGAATATTTTTTTATTGGATACTCCCATTGACATTTGTATATTTGGAGTATCATGTTTATCATAAAAACATATCTTATTTACATTGTTGGTTTGTTGGTAATTCTCTTAGAGATGATTTATGAGCTGTTTAATGTCTGCACAGAAACCATGACATGTAGGATTCTGAAGTACAGGCTTTCGAACACTCTTGGTGGTGGTGGTATATATTCTTCATAATTCTGGTCTGGAGAGTCCATGATATATGACATCCAAGTCAGGCAATTACAAGGTGTGTGGCTATGTTTTTATCCATACTAGGTTTGTTTGTTTCTTCCGTACCATCACACTCAGCAATATTCCAGCTATATGACGGTGGCATGTAACCGAGTCTGGACCAGACAAACCACTGATCGATATTGTGAGCAACGATCCAAGCCATCGAGGTACGAACAAGTGCTATCACCCAAATCATAAAACATGACCACTTGATCAATTTGGTCACCTCTTCCGACCAGGATAAGGTTTCTAGGGAACTATTCTAGCCCTGGATCTCCACTGGGTCCATAGGAGGATATTAACATAAAGGGGTAGCTTGATTTTATTCTTGGGACTGCACTGCCTAGTCACCTTGGTTCATTCCTAGCTTGTATTAAGTAACACAGGGAGGGTGTCCTATTGTGCATGAGAATTGAACATGATTCAGAGTTGTTTAGTTTTAACATTAATTTTTCTCATAACACCTTTATCGTAATCTGGAATAGATTCACTAGTATGCTCATAATTGATACAGTTCATGACAGAAAAGAAAGAAGAGAAATAGACGCATTTACATTAACATTGCTCAGTGAAACATTTTTGTAAGCTTTATATGTGTGTGTGTGTGTGTGTGTGTGTGTGTGTGTGTGTGTGTGTGTGTGTGTGTGTGTGTGTGTGTGTGTGTGTACATATTTTCTTCAAGCTTTTGCATTGACACGATGAGGAAAAGCTGCATTGCCAATTACCATCAAATGAGTTTTACCTATGACGTGTATCTTTCACAATTAGTAATATTGTGTGTAGCAATCTCTTCTGGCCAATTTAAAAAACAAAAAATAGTGCCATGTCACTGTAGCTCACCTGGATATGGAATAAATAGTTTAAAATGTCAACAAGAATGGACAAAACAAAAGTTGCTGTCAGCATTCAGATTCAAATACTTTCTGCATAAACACTAAAATCTAATGATCTGAACAAAATATATTACTGTAATGAGAAACATACATGCCAAAGTTCAGCTCCATCAGTTTCAATTAGTTCCCACAGAGGAGAAGAAGTATTTTGAGATAATGTAAGTGCATAGTCAAAACAAGGTCAAAATAAAAACAAATTTGAAAAAAAATCCAGAACATATTGTATTGAATCCAACAACAATCTTAACCACGACCAAATTTCATTACATTTTAAATAAAAATGGCAAAGTAATGGCCACAAATAGATTTATTTTCTTAAATAGATATTGAAATCTGATTGCAACCTCATGAACAATTTCAGGTGTCTTCCATGGTGGGAACAAGTATGTGAACTTACAGCTTCATTGGTCAAGTGGTTCCTGGGGAGACTTTGCATTTTGAGAGAATTTGGGGGCAATGCCAAAGCTCAAAGGTGAAATAAAGGTCAACATTGAAAATATCTAGAAAAACGGAACACATATGTTCATCACCACTACTAACTGCACACATATCAAATTTAATTACATTTTGAAAAATATAATGACTGAGTACTGCCATAAAGAGATTTTTCAAAATGGCTGCCATGGCAGCCATATTGTCAATAGGATTCAAACATCTTGAACAAATGTAGGACATTTGAACATTATTTGTGGGAACAAGCATGTATTAGGTTTCAGATTCATGGACAAGCTTAAGTGGTTTCTAGGGAGGTAATGCTTAGAGAACACGGAAATGTATTTTGAGAGAATTTAGGAGCATGGTCAAACGCAAATTGGTCAAATCAAAGTCAATCTTATAAATATCATGAATAATGGAACATATTTGTTGAACCCCAATAATAACAAACACATATACCAAACTTCATAACATGTATGTGAAGTTTTAGCTTTAATGGTTCAGTGGTTTGATGTTACACCGGACGACACATGTTGGAAGCTGGATGCTGTATGTAAGACAAAGAGGCCATGACATAAGCTCACTTGACTTCAGTCAGATGAACTAGGGATGAAATAAAAAAAGGATTTCACTTGACAGCCCCATCAGTGATTTAAAACTCTATAACATATCGTGATTTAGGTACCGGGTACTATCCCCTTGTCTTAATTTTGTATGTAAATGTTAAATTTGAGACCCTATGGGAAATATGGTTTAACCGTAGATTTATCTATTTACCAAAGCTGTCAGTGTGATACTCTCACTGCTCGGCTTTCCAGCATTCACACTCCCCATGAACATAGGTCTATATCTAATACCAACTTACAGAGATAGGCATATACAACTCCTCTGTAGTTGAATTCTCATCATTCAAAGAATACAGCTACCAACAAACACAGAACTACCAGCCAATTTGAAGTCCTGACAAGTCAAATATTTCAAACACCAGTTTGTCCAATAACTCAAATATAATAATGAATATCAATACAACAGTGATTTTTTCTATTACACAGACACAATGTCTGTTTGTTTGTTGCTTCACGTCATACTCAGCAATATTCCAGCTATGTGACACTGGTTTGTAAATAAGTCTGGACCAGACAATCGAGTGATTGATATCATGAGCATCGATCCATGCAACAAGGATATGATGATCACCTACCTTTACCACCCGATCCCGCGCTTGGTCTCTTACGACTAGCATGGGTTCCTGAAGACCAATTCTAACCCTGATTATCATTGGTACAGACACAATGTGTCGATTGAACACAATAATTTCAATGTCTTGAAATGGGTATCCGACCATGGTGTGTATGTAGTCTTTAAGTAATAAACAACAAAATATAAGGGATTTCTAAACTACATGGACATATCTATAGTGGAAGGTTCGAAAGAGGAACAAACATTTGACAAACACAACAATGATGTATGTTAACACTGGTATACTGACCAACAAGGACTGTGACTTTAATGCTGGCGATGACATCTTGTGAACTTCTGCAGATATATGTTCCTGAATGGTCAGTGGTGCTTCGGTCCACCAGGAGCTCACTGGTCATCGACTGTGACCGCAGTGACCGATATTTTGTTATAACAATATCTTTATATTTGTGTGCATCTATTTTATCTCCATCCTTGAACCAGTCAATCTCCTCTGGTATGTGAGGTCCTCCGGTGGCGTTACATATCAGCTTGATTGATTCGCCATAGTCCACGTAAGTACTGCCAATCACTGAAATAGCTGAAAAACATTTAAGACAAGATGGTGAAATATTCATATTCAAAGAACTGAAAAATCCAGTCCTTATATTACATTAAGCTGAATGAATATATTCATAGAGATAAGTTGTACTTACTTTATACTGTCATGAATATATTCATGGATAATACACGGAAATATGTTTTTACCAGTTAAAGATTTCAAATCATAAAACCATTATGTATACGAGTCTAAACTTAACAGATCTGATTTCCATAGTGTGTCTTATTGTTACATATCATGATGAGATAGGTGTGTAAATCCTAGAAACTTCAATTCATGAAATAACCAAATGAAGCAATTGTCTTAAGTAGTATATACTTCAATAGACTTTTGAAAGAATGTTTTCATACAGTATGTTATTATTCATTACATACATCACTGAAACCATGAATAAAATTTAGATCTGTAGGAATCGTAACTATCATGTGCTTATCGCACCAGAGAAACATGGATGATGAAAAAGTAGTGTATTATAGTGTGATGGTACATTAAACAGTATTCTAAAGCCAATATGTGACTATATGACACATCAATGTGTTAATTTCTGCAAGTGACTTCACTCTCTAACAATGCGTTTATGGTTATGTCCAATCTGCTAGGGTTCGTGTAGGGTGAAACACGGTAATGCCAATGTGCATTCGTGTGTAGGGTGAAACACGGTAATGCCAATGTGCGTTCGTGTAGGGTGAAACACGGTAATGCCAATGTGCATTCGTGTGTAGGGTGAAACACGGTAATGCCAATGTGCGTTCGTGTGTAGGGTGAAACACGGTAATGCCAATGTGTGTTCGTGTGTAGGGTGAAACACGGTAATGCCAATGTGCGTTCATGTGCTCAGTAAGTACAACCATGATGTCTGTAGCTCACCCCGATAGCTACATGACTACATATAAAGCATATAGCACACAAACATCTTTCTTATGTTGACCAAAGCTAGGTCATGTTAATATGTTGCCAGATCACTTTACAGTAAAGCTCACGGCCTGTTTCACAAAATGATCTTAGCGCCATGGTGATTTTAACGTCCATACTTTAACATAGACTTACAATTGCCATAGTGCTAAGATGATTGTAACTCCAATACTTTAAGATTGGCTTATGATTAATGTAGTGCTAAAATCACTTTGTGGAATTACCTTTATAGGTGAGGTGAGGTGAGGTGAGGTGAGGTGAGGTGAGGTGAGACGTTGCATTTAAGATTTTTGCACTTATATAGCGATGTGCATGTACATGTGGGTGTGTGTGGCTTAGTACTTGGATGAGTCCAAGACTATAGTGCTAGCCCACTGAGCCCATGCGGCAGTTTAACATGAATACCCCATTCAGATACAGGATACTGACTCCAAGCCGACCAGTTCTTATTTAAGCCCCTTAATACCGAGCACCTCCAACCTTTTGCTCACCGGGCAGAATGATCAGAATGATCATATGATACCATCATTTTTATTTTTAAGCCTGTTCGCCCTTAGCTATTATCACTGCTATAGCTATCAATTTGATAAATATTAGTTTCACTGAACATCGTCCATATTGGAACTTATTTGAAATTGATGTTACAAAGACAAACGTGTATATTTCATTGATGTCAATATTTTGATTTTCCAATAAGGGGAGGAACTATTGTGATGTGATGTGGAAATATGTTTAAACTAAACAAATGAAATTACAATTAAACGACAAAAATACATTTCCATAATCATTAGAAATCTCTGTTTAAAGCTGAGTCCGGTTCGGCTAAAAGCAGAGTCCGATTCCGACCATATCATGAGCATGTGATTATGAATCACTATTAAATAAAAGAATCCATTTCTAGGTTGAACTAGTTTGCAGGTGTTCATAACAGTTGATCCCTGAGTCTGATTTAATCATTTTTTCAGTGACATTTAACACAAAGAATAACAAAATGAATGTGGTGTTAATACATTTGTTGATGTTGAACTTTGGCCAGTTGAACTGACATGAATGCCATATAAGGATTCCAAACCTAAAGTATCATATTTGATATAAATAGAAATGCCTTTTCAATACCTTTACTTAAAAGAAGCAGAATCTCTGCACTTTTATACAGAAGATTAATTCAAAATTAACATATCATTTTAGTTCCAACAAAATTAATGTCAGTGGATTTTCTGGTTCATCACTTGAATATCTGGTCTGTTAACAGGTCACAGTCTCATGGCAGAACTGTTGTGCGGCGCCAAACAAGCAAACACTTACTTTTTCATGCAAATTGTGTGAGTGGTGAGTGCTACGGGTATGTCAGGCCATGTTAACCCTTTTTGTGAACACCTGGTGTCATCACTGATTTTCAGTGATCCTTTCATATAATTTTCACTGCTATTTTGCCTTTTACACTGAATGGAATTTTATTGGGCAGATAATCAAGGTTATTCTCTGGCATTGACATTTTATATTCACCTCAAAAACAAAAACTAATCATCAATAAAATCAAAGATTATTTCATGTTCTGCAACACTCAGAGATACTAGTCAATGAAATTTCCAATCCACTGTCGGCAAATGTACAAATCTGTATGATTACTTTGACAGACTCTACATTTCCCAGCTTCAAACAATTTTATTATACGAGCAGCATACAATTTGTGAAAATGATATTTACGCTGGTAAAAACTTGGAGCAATAAATTAGTTTGCTTGGCACTGTGTTAACTGTTAGATCATGCTGTGACTCATGGTTACAAATCACAGAAAACAAGAGCCACATCTTGGTGAAATACTTGTCTGCTGAAAACAGAGCTTGCTGATGACCTTTACCCATCCAGCAGCCAGCCAGACGCAAAGTACCAGACACAGTGCCATTTAAAAAACTCTACTGGTCTTTGACCAGCTGAGCCAAAATTAATTGCAGTGGCATTTCTTTATCAGAATAGTGTGTGAAGAAACATGGTAGACATGAGGTATGAGGTCTGTGTCAGTGGTCACTCGTGATAATACACTTTCTAGGTGGTTTAAACACAAAAAGAATAATAGTGAAACAATGACAAAATTGAAATGAACACAGATTTTGTAATGTAAATAAAATAAAGAATGTGTGATAAACAAAAACATTAATGAAATTCAATGAAAAATTCTAAATGGAATTAACTGGTTTTAATCTAAAAATTCAGAAAGTTAGTTCTCTACTTTATGACAGAAGTAGAACAGCAAAGGGAAATAATTTAATTACCATGTACCACTTTGGTCAGAATGTAATAGCTTTGAGTATTGAGATGGAGATACTTTATGTATATAGAACTATGCTAACTCTTTTATGAAACCTTGATGGAATGGATCTGGACAACAGACCCATAAAACCATGCTTACTCTACTGTGAAACCTTGATGGAATGGATCGGGATCACAAAACAATAGAACCATGCTTACTCTATTGTGAAACCTTGTTGGAATGGATCTGGATCACAAACCCATAGAACCATGCTTATTCTATTGTGAAACCTTGATGGAATGGATCTGGATCACAAACCCATAGAACCATGTTTATTCTATTTTGAAACCTTGATGGAATGAATCTGGTTCACAAACCCACAGAGCCATGCTTTTTCTATTCTGAAACCTTGATGGAATGGATCTGGTTCACAAACCTATAGAACCATGCTTATTCTATTGTGAAACCTTGATGGAATGAATCTGGTTCACAAACTCACAGAGCCATGCTTTTTCTATTCTGAAACCTTGATGGAATGGGTCTGGATCACAAACCCACAAAACCATGCTTATTTCTTTATGAAACCTTGATGGAATGAATCTGGATAACAGACCCACAGAACAATGTTTTTTTATTCTGAAACCTTGATGGAATAAATATTGATCACAAACCCACAGAACCATGCTTGTTCCTTTATGAAACCTTGATGGAATGAATCTGGTTCACAAAACCATAGAACCATGCTTATTCTATTGTGAAACCTTGATGGAATGAATCTGGATCACAAACCCATAGAACCATGCTTATTCAATTTTGAAACCTTGATGGAATGAATCTGGTTCACAAAACCATAGAACCATGCTTATTCAATTTTGAAACCTTGATGGAATGAATCTTGATCACAAACCCACAGAACCATGCTTATTCCTTTATGAAACCTTGATGGAATGAATCTGGTTCACAAAACCATAGAACCATGCTTATTCCATTCTGAAACCTTGATGGAAAGGATCTGGATCACAAACCCATAGAACCATGCTTATTCAATTTTGAAACCTTGATGGAATGAATCTGGATAACAGACCCATAGAACCATGCTTACTCTATTGTGAAACCTTGATGGAATGGATCTGGATCACAAACCCACAGAACCATGCTTATTCTATTGTGAAACCTTGATGGAATGAATCTGGATCACAAACCCACAGAACCATACTTTTTCTATTGTGAAACCTTGATGGAATGAATCTGGATAACAGACCCATAGGACCATGCTTACTCTATTGTGAAACCTTGATGGAATGGATCTGGATCACAAACCCACAGAACCATGTTTATTCTATTCTGAAACCTTAAATGAATGAATCTGGATCACAAACCAAATGAACCATGCTTATTCCTTTATGAAACCTTGATGAAATGAATCTGGATAACAGACCCATAGAACCATGCTTACTCTATTGTGAAACCTTGATGGAATGGATCTGGATCACAAACCCACAGAACCATGCTTATTCTATTCTGAAACCTTGATGGAATGAATCTGGTTCACAAACCTACAGAACCATGCTTTTTTCTATTCTGAAACCTTGATGGAATGAATCTGGTTCACAAACCCACAGAACCATGCTTATTCTATTGTGAAACCTTGATGGAATGGATCTGGAGCACAAACCCAGGTAAGCACTCTATAACATTGTGGTAGTACGTTCAGATGGTATTAAAGATAATCCTGGCTTACTAATCACATGTCTGCGTAGTTTAAAGCAATGTTTTAGTCACATGTGTGAGGCACACAATCTGGAAGAGTAATAATTCTCTCTGGCAAGCGTTGCCATTTTATGTGCCATGGCAATCCATACTTTAATGTCCATAGTGTTCAATTAGCATGAAATTATCAGTTTAGGGGAGGCTTAACTGTAACATTGTATGAGTATAATCATGTTATTTGTACCATTCATTTTGACCTGCTTCTTATAGGAAATTCCTTTTACCAGGGAGTTATCTCATCTTGCCAAACATAAATACACATATTCTTTGCAGGTGGAAAAATGTAAACACAAAGATTTACCATGTCATGCCCAACAAAATGACTGATGCTAAAATGATTTCCTAGAAACCTGAAAACCTGCTCTGTCACCCTTTCTTTGTGTGCACAGCAACTGATATAAGTAGCATCTGTGTGCAAGAGGGTAGATTTGCTGGCTAAAATGGAGTGCAATCATGTCCATTGCCTTGTCAATTTGGAATAGTCTTGTGTGTGTAGGTTGACTACGTGTCGTAGTGCCCCCAACGGCATGGACCGTTGCTTACAATATCGATCAGTGGTTTGCCTGGTCCAGACTCAATTAATTACAGGCTGCGGTCAGTTAGCCGAAATATTGCTGAGTGTGGCCATATATGTATGCACACACAAAGAAAAATATCATATTGCTGTAATGAATAAGCCCTACTAAGTATTATCTCTAAGAAGATGAAGGCAACTCCTCTGTCAGAAACCTGTCAAGGAGCTAATTGAGGATAAAGTTTGTGACTGGCACAGGCTAGATGGAAATACTGTGTAGTTCAGCAGGTGTAACGCCATACATGATAAGGTATTTCCTAAGCCAGATTCACCACAAATGCTAGGTTCTGAAACAGTGAGTGGACACTCAATACCATCAACCAATGTCCAAGGATGAGTGTCCAAGAAAGAGCATCAATAGGTAAAGAATTCTGGATGACTGAGGGCTGCTATTGTGATGAACAGACAGGTATCTCAGAGGAGGACCAAAATGAAATTAACCTCCAGCTGATAAATTTTGATGGCATCTTATGTGAAGAACTTTTGAAAGCACAAGGTGGTCAGACTCACTGACTGGGTTGATGCATGACATCTTATCCCAATTGCATGGATCGATGCTCAATCATAGGATTGTCTTATCCAGACTTGATTATTTACAGACCGCCATTATAAAGCTGTAATATTGGTAAGTGTGGCGTTAAACAACAAAGACTATCAAATGCCCCATCAAATTCCAGCTAAACAGAGTCTAGCTATAGAAGCTCATTCCTGGCAGGTAAAGAGAATGATGGCACCAGAACAAAGACCCATTTAATAGACTTCTTTGTGGAACTATCTACACAAAGAATCTATACAGGGACAACTTCAAGTTCCTGACATCAATGTCCCCTAATTACTAGTATTTTTTTTTCATTACGAATCCTCCACCTCTCTAACACCTGAATGAATCAGCAACTGCACGTACTACCTGCTGGCATCATCACAAGAGGAATCTCAACATATGTGACAGGATGAAGACAAGAGACAATGAGGCAAGAAGAAGCATGTTTAAAGTTTAGGATCCATATAGAGGGTAACAGTAAGTAAGCTGTAGGAAGCTAGGTTCCATTGTGAATGAAGGACAAAGAAAGAAGCAAAGATGTGTTCATGGTTCAGATGTCAAAACAAAACAAATAGAAGAGGAAGTGTTCGGTTCAGACTTTCTGCAGAGGCTACTGAAGGGGGAGAGTATTTATCAAGGCTTGTTAAACATATCAATGTAAGCAGGATTTCAGGTACACATCATTTCTGTGAGTTTAGACATAGATAGGAGAGTAAACCAAGACCGAAAATCAGAACAGAAGATATTTCTAAATAGACAAGATCTTTTGGTTCCATTCAGGGGAATGTGTCCACTGATAGTCTCAGACGACAATAAATTGACCTTTTATTTTTCAAGCAGGACCATGAAGATAAACACCACCAAAGCATTTCTTCTTAATAAGCCACTAGCTGTGTAGTTTTGATTCTGTCACAAGACATACCAGTAGATACATTAATAAATAATGTAACCCAACGGCCCAGATTTTTTACTGCCATAATACATACAAAATATTATTGTCTACATAATGATACTGTTCTCCCAAAATAGAAAACAAGTACCGGTACATTAATTAATTCATACAATAGATATTATAGAAACATATTTTCCCAGGTACAGTGTTAATACAATGATGATATATCCATCAACTTCATAAAAAAAATGCATATGTTTTATTAAATTTGAAGTTTTGTGAATTCCGTATTCCTACTGTTATAACAGAGACTGGACGGAGACAGGACTAACACATGTGAGGGAACTGAGAACAGTTCATGCTTTTAGATGTAGGCAATCAGAAAAAACTATACATCTACCATTCACGACATCCGTTCACACATGCACGATTGGTTCCACTTCATCACACATGTACTAGTTGACACAAGAGTTGGTCATGCAAGAAATTATTTAGCATCCCACCATGCAGTGCGAAGACGTCACAGGTAGTACGTACATTCTGAATGTTTAATCATATTGCTTGTTGCTTCCTTGATGGCATTGGTACTAAGCCTGTATAGTACAATGATCTCATTCCCAAATGTGCTGTTCACTATTAGTCTCAACTGGCTGATCAAGTGAAATATTTGTGGAAGAAAATCGAAAATAAAAAAAGGCGTAACAAATCATTACTTGTATTACAGTATGAATTTTCTGTGTTGGATATAGTTTGGAAGAAATCTATAAATCTATAAACAATTTCCTCACTTTGCAAGCTCTGTGGACAATGATTATATTCTACAAATCATGACACAACTGATCATCATTAGGAAAATGGCCAGTTCACAAATACAACCATGTCAAGTGAAAATTTTGTTCATGTGAGTTTGCTCAAAAAGTTACATTTCATCTGCCTCCAGTTTGACGACTTCTTCACTTCATTTGACTATGGAGACCTTTAGAACTGTTATCCAATTATCAGGATTTTTTTCACATGTTATTAGACAGGAATAATTAACTCTTCTTTCTCATTGGTAGCCAGGGAATATAACCAAGAGCAACCTTTCACTGGCCTAGAATTTGACATTGGAGGCAGAGTACAAACAACGCTGTGTCAAAGTTGAAGGGACCTACGAAAATACTTCGAGATATCCAAGTTTCGACACAACCAAAACTTATGGGGACCAAGTATTTACTTTGAGGCAACCAGAAGTTAGACACATCAAAGATCTACACAACGTTGATTGACTGTACATTTATGATCAAGATTATTGTGAACTCTGGTCGTCAATGTTAAGAAAGACAAAGTGTTTTCGATTTCTGATTATTTTTCCTTTAAGTACTACTGCATTTTGAAATCACAAATAACTTTTGACTGGGAGAGGATGATGATATCTTGGCACTGCAAGAACACTAAAAAAATTAAATTGTAACTATTGTTATTTTACAAGGGGACATTTACCAGCAACCTATTATGCACCATGCAATTGGATAATCCACAGCCCAATCCAGTCATTCTTTGAAAATAAACGAATCAAAACCAAAATAATAACACCACAGAGACAGTGACAGATAAAACATGTAAACGTGTGATCACGTGACGAACACACAAACTGATGACTAGCACCACAAATTGTGCTTTATTCACCTGGTTTGGAAGTGCGTATATCTGTGTTAAATCAGAAATAAATATAGATAAGCTTATTGATGCAATAGTCAAATACAGGATCAGCATTCCAGGAACATTGTGTACCTCATGCACGCACAAACTGCACATTGGTACACTCCTATAGGACTGGTTCAATGGATTTAGTCAGCCCTACTAACAATTCTATTGTTCATAGACTGCAAATGAATGAAAATCCACATTACCTACTTTCAAACACAAATATGCAGCAATATCTGTAGATTTTGAACACAATATGACACTCTGCACAGAATTGCAAAAAAGGAACCCAAACAAATAGTTTCTCCAAAACAAATACCACGTGTAGAATATCACTGAATATTATTTATTAACCAAATATATGATTATTAGTAAACCATTTATGAACCATGTATATATTTTTCCTGATGGAATTTATCTCAAAATCACCTAAAGGTACACGACAAATGGCAGAATTTGCTGAACAAGATCTCTTATGAATGTTGACCAACAAGAATATTATTTATGAATGGAGACTGCGAATAGAGGTTGTAAACTTGCATAGTTCTGATAACTGGTTTGTCTTGCAGAAGACGCAGATAGTGTAGAGAATGGGGAAAATCTACAGATAGTGATGCTTTTTTACATCTTTGTGTGCACAGTAGTTAAAAATTTCATGCATTTTCAATTCTTAAAAACACTTTTTGGGAGCCATTACTATTGATAGTGAAAACAGACTTGTTTTAGGCAAGAGAGAGTATTTTGGACTTTTTTAAAACATTCTAATCTATAACTCCTACAATAACCACAAGCTCTGATTCACGTCATCATACAGTGCTATAAAGTTAATATTTGCTTTCTAAACAATTAAAAATGATCTACAATATCGTTATCTGGGTCAAAAATATTTTGAAATCAGTTTAATCACTAGTTCCAAAGTCGAGTTATCACAAACGATGCACAATCTCAGGGACAAAATGAATTCTTATTAGCAACATAACAACATATTTGTATTCTATGTAGAAAAAATAAAATGATTACATTCAAAATTATAACCAACACAGATCCTTTGAACCAGTTCCTTTACAAAATAATTGGATTCTGGATAGGTAAAAATATCCCTAGTTGGTATTGATGGGAATGTGACATATGGACAAGATGAGTATTTACTACAGGGTAGTGCACTTTTGTCCCTATGTTGCACATGACAGTCACATGACAAAATGACAGGTAATCAATCTTGGGAATAAGTTAACAATGATCAAATATCTTTCTGTTTCACTGCCAAGATATTAACTCAGGTTGTTTCCAGTCATGATTTAAAAGTGAGCACGAAAAAGATGATGGAATACCAAGAAATATCAAAATGAAGCCCAAATTAAGAGTCAATTTGGGAAGAGTTAAATAAATATTAGGATGAAAAATGAAAAGCTATTATTTTTATTTTTACTACAAAAATAATTATGAGCAAATTAGTAATATACAAACCTTTCTATCATCGTATTACTTAGTTTCCAGTTGTATTGTTTGTTAGTAAGGCCATAGAATACATAAATTATACAGCAAGACTATCCAAAGTTGTTACAAATCTTACATAATTTTAATCTTGCTTATTCACCAAAAGTAGATTTACTAAAGGGATAGACTAAAAGAAAAATTATTAATCTTAGAATCATCATCAGGTCACGCAAAAGTTTTATCATGAATTTAAAATTCCTTGTATAAGTGTAACAACCTTGAAGAAGTTTGCTATAAATTCTGTATGAAGTATGAAGACGTCCCATGCTTCCCTCACTTACATGCAAACAGAGACTTGTATTGTGGTATTTACCAAACACATATGAGAACAGATTAATCAGTTGATTAGTGATATGGAATGGTACTAATATTAGACTTAACTAACAATATCTCGTAAGGTCAACATAAAACTTGGTAAACTTACCTGGGTTTGTGATCGGGGGACCTGAAAGAAGAAAAAAATCAGTTCAATATTATTCAAGGCCAAATGTAACATTTTCTTAACATTTATCAAGCAAACAAAAAACATGTCTGATTGATGATGTGATCATTACTTGTATTTTTCAAGGTGAGACAATTTTTTCTGATTGATAATCAGAATATGTTTTGTATTAAGAAAAAACAAGTATTTGGCAGGCTGGCCAAAAGTACATAAAACAAAGACTGATAATAGTTTGCCGGCACAGATATTCGAGAAGACATGATTTCTCATGGGCATTGATTACGTAAAGTTTGAAGGTGTGTTTGAAAAAAAGAAATGTCTGTCTGAGGCACAATAATTAGTTAAAAAAAGTCTGTTCAATACAAATGCCAAGAAACTTCACAGAGGGTCTCTGTGGCTGTTGGACAGTCCATCATGGGAGGATGACAAATTTGAAATTTATCAGCTCAAGTTTGCTACTACAGAATGTGAACTTCAGTAATAAATGTCAGAAAACAACCTTTCATTCAAGGATGTCAATATTTCAAGAACAGATCCAGATATCTTCAACTAATGTGGATTGTAAAGTTTTGAATTGTTTTTTTTGACTGTACATTATTCAAATGCCAGACAATCTGGTTTTTGGTAAGAAGCATTTGTTATCTGCACACATGTTACAAGAAGGTGCCTTCAGGAAGCATGTTATTTCTGTTCTTACTTTTAACGGACATCTTACATGCATCATTACAGAGCCTGGTCCAACATATAATAATTTTTTTGGTCACAAGGTAAGCGAGCTTAGTCACAATGAACAAAAGTGTTCTATTTACATAATGTGAAAGCTGGAATTCTTATATCAGGCTTTGAAGTAAGCATGTATAAGAGCACAAGGCACAGTTCACCACTTATAGTAATAGGTCAAGGGACACAAAGAGTGAGTGAGTGTTTATTTGTTTGTTTCTTTTGTTTGTTGTTTAATGCTGCACTTGGCAATATTGCAGCTGTATGATGACAGTCTGTAAACAATCGAGACTGGACCAGACAATCCAGTGATCGACATCATGAGCATCGATCCACACAATTCGGATTGATGACATGCATCAACCAAGTCAGCGAACCTGACCACCCGTTCCCGTTAGTCACCTCTTACGACAAGCATAGTCACCTTTTACGGCAAGCATGGATTGCTGAAGGCGTATTCTACCTCGGATCGAGTGAGTGAGTTGGGTTTAATGCAGCTTTGTACTGTATTCAAGTTGTATGACGTTATGTCAGCATAATTTAGGAGCAAAGAATAAAGTGATGCAGGTCTCAGATGTTTCCCACTTTAGTTAAAACCCACGAGCATGGTTATGGTGTTGACAAACCTAGAAATATAATTGAGGCAAACTGGGATTCATACCCACAATCATAGGATTCAGTTATGCCCAAGAGATGCAACAGTGCAGGGACACCAAGTGCCATATACCAAAGTAGGCAATCCAAGCCAAGTCCCCATGAAGTGATCTCAGCACAAAGAAGATCCTAACTCCCATACTTTAACACAGAATTTTGACATCACTAGGTATCACGTAGCACTAATATTACTTCATGGATGGGTTCCAAATCTTTGGCACAAATGGTGAATGCCTTATTTAGTAAACAACTCATCATCCCAATGACCATTCATCTTGGGAAGTAAATCATCCTATATTGTTATGATCATGACACACCTCTACATAAGACAGTTACCTCAGCAGGATTGGACATTCTTAATATTTGTGAACACCAAGGTTCATTTGTGTATAAGAGCTACATTTGAAACCATTTTCCATTTCCATCGGATACTATCTGGAATGCTGCGACCCAAGATCACCAACTCAAGGTGTTTTAATGATCAAATTCTACTTGACCATCTGGACAACTAATACTCAACTCAGACCAAATTTAGTTCCATTTAATCCTCTTCACATATAACCAGTTGTGACTTCCAATACTAGCTGCCCTACTCCATGGAGATTCAAGTCTGGCCTCTTACACAAAAGACAGCAGCCATAACGCCAGGCAGGAACTTACTTTGTTAATACCATGTGACATAAATTACACTCCGGGCTTTCAAACTGACCCCAACACCTGGCTAATTTCCCTCACAGCTTTGTCAAATGTAGAGGAGGCTACTGGGCTAATCAATTCACACATACATGATGGTCTATTCAGTGTTCCCATTTACCGGTTATTACCAGTTTTTTAAGGATAAAATTAGGCTTGGACCGGTGATTCATGTGACTGCCAGTCCCTGTGGACCGGCAAATAAAGTACATGTACCTTACAAAAATCTTTGCGAAATTCATATGAGTATATTTTGCGAACGAAGTCAGCTTGTCTGTGACCATCAGGGTTTCCCCTTGTCTATTTTTAGTGCAAGGGAATAACATTTCGCCTTGCTTCGGGGTAAAATATATATGTGGCGACTTGGTCTCGAAATATTTTAAAAAAGAAGAGGAAATTGTGTCTGAATGTTGTGTGAATGACATGTTGATCATGACATACGTTATTGACATTTACAGATATAATGTCTACTATCAATACTTGAGGTAAAAATTGTTTAATTAAGTGAACTACAAGATGATATATGTATGATTTTCAGAATGATAGATTTATTTTTTCAGTGTGGAAGGATCATGCTGTATTTCTGAAAAAATTTTGCTGTTTATGATGGTCTTGTGTTTGTGGAAGGCCTAACACAACTTTATATGTGAATATGAAAATGTCATCGCCAGTCTCCAAAACAGATTCCATTGGGCGTAAAAGGCAAAAATAGCATTGATAACTATTTGAATGGTTGACAGAAAACCAATGATGACACGTGTTCACAAAAAATGTAAGCATGTCCTGCCCTACCTACCCTTCACTTAAACCAGTTTTTATTGATTCAGGAACCCTTGAAGATTCATGGGTTAGCAGCTCAAATATCAATAAGCAAAATATAGCCAGTGAGCAATAAGTAATCTTTCAGCAATACGGAATCACTGATCACACCACATCAGCAATGTTTCAGCAGCATAGCATCACTGATCATTTAGAAAATAGTGCCCATGTCCAAATACGGGTAAATGCTATTTTGACATCCAACTATGCTCTACTAGGAAAATGTCCTAGAATTTAACAGGTACTCTTATAAGTTGTCTGTTCTGGAATCAGTAATATGAAAATAATGCCATCCAGTATAAAAATCAGGCAAGACATATCTCCCAGCACAACAATATATATATATTTGATGATATCCTTCAAGGGACAATTGATCTCTAATGAGACTGAACCCACTGCTTGAACTTACCAACGACATTCAGCTGTACGTGATATGCATATTCCTGTGTAGATGTGATCTGGCACTCGTAAATCCCTGTGTCATTAGCCTTGACATTCTTTATTAACAAGTCCCATGTAGTTATGTCCCCTGGCTGTGTTTCATGCTCCACCATCATATTTACTTGCTTGATCCATGTGATCTTGCCAATCGTCAGAAACTGGTCAGAGTTAAGTCGCCGCCACGCTACCTGAAAAAAAGATAAGTACTTGCTCAGTTGGATTGTCAGAATCAACAAAAGGGTGAAAATAGTCATCTGAAACAAGTCAGTTTATATTTAAGTCATATACAGGTTCAAAACAATATTTTATCATTTGCAATAGGCCATCATAAACAAACCTGGGCACTGTAGCTCACCTATAGAATAAGCCATGGTCATGTGGGGTTGGAACTTCATTAATATAACACCTTTAACAATTTTGACAATTTGCTGTGAGATGAGCATATATGATGGTATGATTTGTGGAGTGGTGATATTTAGGAGAGACAATACCATCCACAAATAGAATGCTATGTCCAAATCCAAAATTCAACAAAAGTTGCCTTTACTTGTGACCTTCATCATTCCAGCAGGTTCTCTGAACCATTCAGTTTTAATCAAGAAATTGTTTAATCATTTTCAAATGTCAAGGGTTGTTTTTAAATTTGGATAGTTACTCTCGACATGAACCTTATTATCTGATAGCTCCTTAACTAAGAAAATGATAACTGCATTATTTGATATTCATGTCACTTGATTCCCAAGATAACAAAGGTGACAAGTTCTGAAACATTTGCAAAAAGTTCTATTTACAATACCATCAACTTGGGGTTAAAGTCATTTATCAAAGAGGATGATGGACAATTAGGTGGACAAAAAGTAGATAATTTGACAGGATTAGAAACCAGATATTAACTAGCTCAGATTAAGTATGCAGAAAAGATCTAAGAAATGGAAACAGAAGTAAATATGACAGTTTGATAAATGGTTTGCACAACACATTACTAAATAATCATCCTTTATTTCAAGAAAAATACACACAAACCCACACAATGACAGTAATAGTTTTTTACCCAAATAACCTGAATACAGAGGAATGATGTATTATTTTGGGTAGCATACAATACAATATGAATTATTTGCCACAATCTTCCCTAATCACATTTTTTCCATTTCTCTACAGACTGTTTTGACTTGATGTGTATTGCTTTGATGAATGAGGACAGGAATATGAAGAAAACATAATTTCATTACCAAACTATTCACTGACCTTTCCAGAAAAAAATGAGAAATCAGCATCCATCTAATCATAAGATCTCTGTTTTTAAACATATTCCTAACATACAAATGAATCATATTTGAATCTTACTTCAAGGCTCTGGTTTATTTTTCTATTTACATGATACAAATGGCAGACAAATTATACTGCAACATGTAAAAACACATTTTGATAGAGTTTTTAACCCCCTACACACAGACAGGAGAAGGTCTAGGGTCATATCTTATCACTGTCATCACAACAGGAAATAAGTCTGAGATAATACCTTCCTGATGAATTATTCATTCAATTACGGCCATGCCACTTTCCTAACAACATCTCTTATCTGCACAGCAATGAAAGGGTTCCTCTGCTGAATGAGGATGAAGCACATAAGTGCAGCATGTTGAAGAAGCAGATTCTGATGTGCAGGACTATTATGGACTTAAAGAGTTGGGTGAATGAAATCATAAATACATGGACAATTCCTATCAGACTGACATATCTGGAAGAGTTGCCTAACCTTAGTACTGTTAAACAATTGCTGTGCAATTGCCCATTTGTCCTCTATGTATAATGGAAGGAAAAATATAAATCATTATTCTGGGACTATCTTGGAAGTCTTCTTGCTTTGTGGCAAAGGATATCCAGAAATAACACTGAAATTACATAACCCTGAGATAAGTTTGAAACAACCTTGGGATTATTCTGAAACAACTCAGAAAAATAACCCAGAGAAGATCTGAAACAACCTTTAGACTATTTTGAAACAACTCTGAAAATATCATAAAGTTACAATGAGAATAGTCAGAATTCTGAAATAAATATTCTAAGACAACTAAAAATCCCAAAGTACTTGACACAAGGATCGGTGAAATAATATTACTCTAACCACTTGCAATGAAGCAAGGATCTTCAACATCTTTTGAATAGGCAGCAAAGATGACCAAGGCATTATCCGTACCATGCGAAGTGACCACTTTGATGATGCTAATTGAAGCCGAACCCAATCTGGCCTATATCTATATTTCAGTGGCAGCAGGAGGGATTCATGGCATGTAGCTTTGCGGTTAAATAAAGCACAGACTTCTCAATCATCCAGTACACCTGCTGGCTCGCTTCCCAACAGAGATACAATTTGTGCAAAGCCTTTACTCATGTCCACTACTTTCCATCACATTTTCATTTTATTTCTATTTCTATTTTGTCTTATATATTTCTGTTTTGGGCCCAGTTGTCTAAGGTGCCACAATTGTGTCCCTTGGGCACTCCAGAAACCTGTGATTCTGGGTTGAGTCATGTTCGCCTCGATAATGTTTCTAGGTTTGTTAGAACCATACCCGTGTGTGGGTTTCACCAAGGTAGTAAACGACTGAAACCGGCATCACTTTAGACATTCCCCCTGCATTAAGCTGACAAGCCATGGTATAACTGTAAAAAGCAGTGTTAATTTTAAACCCAACTCACTCACTCACTCTTAATCTTCACATTACCTTCTTGTAGTCTTGTCTCCATTTTGTCTCCATGTTTGTCATGTTTAATGTTGACAACATTTGTACGATATATTCCAAATTATCTTTCATTTGTCTGTGAAAAACATGAGCACAGGCATGGTGCTGACAAACCTAGAAACATAATCACACGAACCCTGATTCAAACCCACAATCACCCCTGCCCCCAGATTGGCTTGGAAAACAGGATATGAATACTGAACTTTCTCTGTGAACAGCATCCACATTTACCTGGATTGAAGCACTGCATCTTTTATTGAATATTCACATTGACAATTGACCAGGATGCACTTTTCCAAGTGAACACAATTATTGCAATAACACTTGTGTCCAAGGAAAGCTTCTACTCCATCATCAAAGACAAAATTGTGCACTGTCTTGCACAGGGAATGAGATTATGGAAATCACAGGAGGGTATTTGAATACCCATTTCATTGTCTAGACCATCTAAAGAGAGTTGGACAGAATTACAAATTAGCAATCTGGTCAAAAGTAAGCACTAAATTGTAGGACAATGCCATATGAGTATACATAATGCTGATAAAACACAGAATTGTTTCCCAATTACTGGGAAATATCCCTTGTTAATACAATCTGAAGAGATTTCTAAGGTGTGTTTATGCCAGGGTCTACAAATAGTTTCGCTTGAAGGATGGCTATATGAAGGTTGACCAAAATCAAAACAATGTTGATATATATATGACCCTAAAGTTACAGCCATACTGACCTAAAGAGAGTGGATATGAGCTTTAGCTTGTGATTGTGCAAGGAAACACAAATTTATGATTGTCTGAGGTAATATCCGGTCGATTTTACCATTTCTTCTTCTGTACAACATGGGAGTTAAATAATATTCCTCTTTGGTAGAATATATTCCTCTTAGACATATTTTCAAGCACAAGGCATGACAGAATTGAATTTTTTTCACTCCGTTAATAATGTAAATGTAATATGATTCTGGAATGGTTATAATTCAATCTTGATCTGATTTGTAGTTTCAAAGAGTAGTCCAGTCATATTTTTGAGGTAATAATGGTATCTTTAACACCACTCTGGAGTTCTGATTGCCTTGACCAATAGAGTAGAAGTATTGAGGCCTCTAAATTTCCTGTATGGTACAACAAGCGTTGTAATTGCCGAAGATGGTGATCAGTTCAGAACTGGAGATGAATGTAATTAGTTGTACTACAATCAGGTCCATCCGCCCAGTAATCTAACATTCATGAGCTGCTTGATTACAGGTGCTGAAACTAGCACAATGACAACTGATTAAAAGAAAATCTATTAACACAAACTTTGACCCAATTTCTTAAGTGTAAATCTTGTAAGAAAATAGCTGTGTAGGTGTTTGATAACATTTTAACAAGATTAAATCTTAATAAATAGAAACAGGAGGATTAAGTAATGTTTCCAGGAACATTTTTATGCAGTTCATGCTGCTTTGAAATGAAATTGGTAGCTTTAGCGCATTTAGTTACTGTAGGAGTATTGAGTTGCTCATTCTTTACAGTGATGACACATTACGTGGGAGACCGCCTCTGTGGTCTAGTGGTAGAGCGTCCACCCGGAGAGCAGAAGGTCCGGGGTTTGATCCCTGGCCACGTCATACCAAAAGACGTTAAAAGATGGTAGTTGTTGTTACCCTGTCTGGCGCTCGGCATTAAGGGGCTAAAGCAAGGACTGGTCGGCTTGGATCAGTAAACTGTGTCTGAGTGGGGTATTCATGTAAAACTGTGGCATGGTATCTCAATGAGCTAGCACTATAAATCAGCATCAGTTTGGACTAGTACAAGCAGCCACACACACAAACACACACACGCGCATGCACGATGCTATATAAGTTCAATAATCTCAGACGAGACGTTAAACCCAATTTCACCTCACCTCACATTACGTGGAAGTAGCAGTTCACCTTCATGCTTGAATTAATTTTGTGTGCATGAGAGGGAAGGGTGGCTACTGTTTGAAGTTGATTAACAACTGTTCAAAACCTACAAGACCTGTGAAGATCAGGGGTAGAATAGGCCTTCAGCAACCCATGCTTGCTGTAAAAGGTGACTATGCTTGTCCTAAGAGGCGACTAACGGGATTGGGTGGTCAGGCTCGCTGACTTGGTAAATGTCATCATATCCCAATTGCGTGGATCAATGCTGATGATGTCAATCACTGGACTGTCTGGTCCAGACTCGATTATTTACAGACTGATGTCACATAGCTGGAATATTGCTGAGTGCAGCATTAACACAAAAAAACAACAAAAAAACACACCTTAGCACTGGTTTTTGTTTTATCCCAGCATATACAGTATGTAGGACATGAAGAATGAAATTCACACTTTGTACCCATGTGGGGATACGAAACAAGGTTCTCAAATTTTAGTGATGAGTCAGCATTATAACCATAGGCTTCCCTACTTTTTAAAAACAATTCTTTCCTAATTT